ATACAAACTTATAAGCTTGATTTATTTTTAATTCTCCTGCTTTCTCGGGCCTCGTGCACAAAGACTGTAAATTCCTGAAACTTCAGAACCAGGTGAGAAAAAATATCGAAAGTGGTGGAAAAGGGAGAAGTGCTGGGATGAGAAAGGAATCCTTCTCGTCTTAAGGAGAATTTTAAAACCAAGGGCACTCCCGGATCCCCAGAAAAGGAAGTAGCTCAATTCCAAAAAAGCACTTTTCCCTACCTTCTTGTTGTTCTTGTTATAGCCAAAAGTCGAAATCCCAGGTCTGGAAGTCACTGATAGCAGCATTTTCTCTTTAATATTAGGGAGCTGAGAGAAAGAAGAGGGACAGGGAGGGGGAAAGAAAGAAGGAAAAGGAGGGGGAAAGAGGGAGAAGGAGAGGGAGAAAAAGAGGGAGAGGGAGTGAGGGAGAGAGAGGGAGGGAGGAAGGAAGAAGGAGGGAGAAAGTAGGGGGATGAGAAGGGGGGAGAAAAGGAGCCAGAGGGAGAGAGATTGGGGGGGGTAAAGAATGAGCTAGGGCTGCTTGTTGACGTCACTGAGAGAAGTTAACCCAGAGTCTGAATGAGGCACTTCCACTGGGTCCTAATGCCCAAGATGTTATTATTTTTTTCCAACCCCCCACAGGCTTAGCAGTTAAAGCAAAAAGAAAAGTTTTTAGGTATACCCCTTTCAACTCCATCCTTTTTTCCTCTATGAACAAGTTCAGATTCTCATGAAAAGGCAATGAGGATTTTTTTCTCTTAGATGTCAGCTATAAGAAGATTTCAAGCTTGATTTTACAGGGGCCACTGGGATATTGCCTTAGAGAACATGTGAAGAAAACCATACTGAGAAAGAATATGTGAAATGAGCTAGCTCAGGACTTCTCCCCGCCACACACACACACACACACACACTTTACATTTACAGTGATATTAATACATGAAGAAAGAACACAGAAGAGCTCACCAAAGTACAGAGACAAGCAAAACAGAGTATGGGAAATAACTAGTTTCAGATCCTTGTACAGTTCTATTCCTCTTGGGTCACGCTAATGGACTGATGCCTCTCACTCCTTTTCAGATTCCCTCGAGTAGGACTTCATACTTAGGAAGGAATTATCAAACTGGACTACCATAAAATTTGATACCTAGTAGTTTCTTTTTTTCCTCCAGCTTCCTTCAGATATAATTGCATAGTGGTTTCTTCAACAATTGTAAGCTATCTTATTTGACTCTATCCCACTATTTCCTAGTCTTCGAGGTCCATAAGTATGAAAAAAATTAGAGTTACTCACCAAAGCTGGAATTTATGCCCAAACTGAAGTTCACGGAGTTGAGATGTTTGCTTCAAGTTGTGTCTGAACTGTAGGAAAAAAATAACTATTTAAAAAGTATATGCTCACAACGAAGAAAAATACAAAGTTCTTAGAAAAGAAGAATGTGAACTCAGACTCAAGAACCTAACACAGTTACAACAACACTCACCTCTAATAGTTTCAAAGGAATGTCCTGTAGAAGTAGCCTTAATGAGAAAAGAAACCTGTTGGAAACCAAAAAATTTTAATGATATCCAGTAACTCCTACCAATCCAAGTGGAACAAGGATTTAGAATGAAAGTCTTCAAATTCCTTCTTAAGGCCACTTTGCTGCCATCATGGATGTTCTCTTAAGACATAAATTAACCCAGTCTGCTTTGCCACAAGAAACATTAAGCCCAAACCCTCCCTTAAATGAAGTCCCAGTCTCTATTCTAATTTTCCTGTCACTTTTTTGCTTTGATAATAGGACAGATAGTACTAACATTCTGCAGAGTAAATACACACATACCATATCCCTAATCTCTAACTTTCATTTCCAATAGGACAGGAAGTTCCTGCTCAGCTCAGGGGACACAGGAAGGGTGGGAACAGCCTCAATGTGGGAATTGCAACACAGATTGAAAGCACAGTAGCCAAATGCAGTAAATAAATAAAGACTTCTCTCAGTGATACCATATTTTTCGAAGTCCCTTTTCTACCCTCAGAGATTCTCATTCATTATATACTACATTATCCTTGCTATTTAGGCACTTATTTTATGTCTTCTCCCTTAGCTTAATAATGTGGTACAAAACCCTTAATCTTTAAGGCCTGATTTACAATGGTATTTATAATGGCAGTCAATCTAACTTAATTTTTTTAAAAATTCTAATATTCTCAATGAGTTCTCCTACTGCATTTCTTAATGCTCAATGATATCTTAGAATTTAAAATAGTTAAAGCCATGAGTTTCAGAGAGAAATAGACATGAGTTCAAATCCTGGCACCAGTTAGTCACCATTTATGTGACTTTGGGCCAAATTATTTAACATCTCTAATTCACTCATTTGCAAAATGGAGATAATAACTACTTTATTTGTTTTTAGAATCAATTCTAAGTTCTTGTGTTAACCGACGTAACCCAAAAATTTTTAATAAAAATAACTCAAAAAAAATCTAAGTTCTTGTTCAGTCCTGTCACTCACAAGCTGAGTGACACTGGTAGAAATACCACACATATCTGAACCTTACTTTCCTTATCTGTAAAACAGAGTAAATAAACAGTATCTACTTCCTAAAATTGTAGTGAAATAAAATAAGGAGATGCATATAAAGCCCTTAAGAAAGTGCCTGGCACTTACACACTTAGTAGATGTTAGCATCATTATTTAATTACTCTACTTTCCCAGTGTGTATCCCTCTGGGTATTGTATAACCTAGATTTGATGATCTGAAGTGAACATTTTGAAAAACTAGCATCTTAGTTACATTCAAAAGATTATACAAGGACTAGGCAGGCTAAACTTTATAACTGGAAATACTGAATAAGAAGTTCCAGGAATCGCCCAGTCCAATTTCTTCTCTTTGGAAATTCTTTCCATAACTTTCAGTCTCCTGGAATTGGTAGACCATCTATTATCTGTAGAAAAAAAGGAAACAAAATAATACACAGAGTCAATACACACTAGAAACAAGACACTCTAGCTCCCATTTCTCTAGAGTCCTACTACTCTAAGAACTAGAAATAGATGTAGAAAAAACTGTAGGATTTTTATGCATCCTAAGATTTAATGTCATTTCTCTACTCTAAAAGTAGATGGTATCAGACAAAAGAGAGATAAAGAAGGATCTAATTAAATAAATTCTATTTTACTTGAACTAATACAAAAACATAGGGTTTTATAGTCTGTCTAATAAATTTCGGGCCATAGAAGTAAAATGATCCAGATTTGTGAACTGATGCCAAAAAGGTAATTATGTCAAAGAGCACCAACAAGTCTGGAAATTACATCCTTTATTCTAGTAAGTACATTTTTAAAAGTGGTTATGGAATTTTGTGGAAGTGATAGAGAAGGTAATGGAGTTCTTTGGTTAGATTCAGGAAGTATATTAGAGGAGGGAGAATCCTATTTCTTCTAGTGTGTTTACTTTGCCATTCCCCCACCCATCTGCTCTGCCCATTACAGTAGCCCACATTTTTCTAGATTTTAGTCAATGCCTCTCATATTCTTGGTTCTAACCACCCAAGTGTTGTTATGAGGTGAAAAAGTAAAATAAGAATTATTTGGAACTTTTCTTGGAAAGAGACATTTGCACCTTTGAATTCAATATAGACTGGTTTGTGATTTCTCCAGAAAAAACAACACTTTTATATAAGTGCCTCAGGTAAAGGAATTGGCTAGATGAACTGTGATCTGTATGTTGAAAGATGTTTGCATGCCACTATTGGCCCCTCCACATCAGGGTGGAGAACTCAAAAGAATGCACTACCTGCAGATATGCTAGACTCTAGACAGACTTTCACCTAGAGCCAGGGTGATGTGGTACATGTGTCTGAAAGCAGTGAGGCAGGGCCAGTTTGCTAGTGAAGCTCTGAATGTGGTTCAGAGACCCCAACAAGGTTTATTAGGGCCAAGGACACTTGGTTTTCTAGCTGTTAATATTCTCTGTGGATTATCTTTCCTCCCACTGATAAACTTGTATGCCCAGAAGACTAAATAATGGTGAATTTATTTCATGGTAAAGAGATCAGGTAATCTTTAGGAAGAAATGAAAAAAAAAGAGTGTATTTAACACATCAGCTTCCTAAAGAAAAAAAAGAAAAAAAACTCAAGGAGCTGCATCAAACAACAAAGAAAAGCTTAGCCCTGCCCCTTTCTGATGTTGGATAGAGTGATAAAATTGGTCTAAGACTAGAAATTGGGAAAGTTTGGCCTCTCAACTCCTTGACTTAACTCACTGAAAAACAGGGAAAAAGACAGACAACTCTGAAGAATTCTTTATCTCACACTCTAAATATCAGTGCTAATAGTATGCTCTCCTCTCCTATAGCAACAGATACTTTGGTCAAAAATTATAGGGAATATCCTAACAAAATTTTCAAGTAGACTTGTCCTTTCCCAGACACTAAAGAAAAATAGGAATCGAACTATATAAAATCATTGGGCCAGAAAATTAGCATAAGGTACAAAGAAAGAACTAAACTAGATTCTATGCATATCCAGAATGGACTGCATTGATTATATGGTAATATCATATTCTCTAAATATATGTTCCCTACATATCTGAGACATTAATTTTGCTTGGCCTCAGCTATCCCTAAAATAAATCATTCAGATGATCCCAATAGGGCCCACAATGGAATTCAACAATTAGGTTGAACCAAATTAAATGGCTGTTTCTATAGGCCAAATATGATCTTTTCAAATAGTCAAATATTGGTAATTTCATATGGTTAAATCTAACACTGCAAAAAGTGTGAGACTGTGGGGATAATAATGAGTCAGAACACTGATTAATTAGATATTTATTTCCTTTCCTTTTTCCTTTGTCATTTTCAGATAAAAAAACTAAACTCAGAGGTAAACTTACTTGTACAAAGTCATGGGGTCATGGGGGTTGAATAATGGCATAACCGACACCAGAATCCAGACTTGCTGACTCAATTCAGCATCCTTCCCATATCAACCTGATTCTACTGTAAAATTAAAAATTCCAATAAATATACATTTTAGGGTCAGAAGTAATAAAGGAATAATTCTAGGATTCCAGAAGTGAAAGTTCAACTATTTTCCTCAAACCAGCTCTTTAACTCAAGGTAACAATGATACCTAATATTTTGGCCTATTCTAAAATTGTACCATAGATGACATTTCTAGGGATAAACTTATAATGCAAACAAGATGATTTGTAGAAAACCACAATTGTTGGGAAGTGCTGCTAATTAAGTGTTCAAGATTCTACCTAAGGTTTGATTTACTATATATGGAAGGGAATTTCCTTGAATTCTGCTTTCTTTCTGGGGATAATTTGTACCGTATCCTGAAACTCTCAGATAAAATGTAAGATTTGAATATAAGAAACATTTTCTAAAATGTCAATATTCATTATTTATAATGCCAGGAGTCACTAGCAGGTTTTACTAAAAGCATAAGCTTGATGAGGACAGGGACTGTGACTATTTTGTATATGCTATTATATTCCTAGCATTTAACAATACCTGATTAATTTAAAATTTGAAAATATTTCATCCATGAATGAATGAATGCTCTATCTCAAACACTAAATTTACATCTGAAAAGATATTACTCACTAAAAACACTGGAAATATTATTAGACAGTGATAGAGTGACACATTTAGACATCCATGAGCTTTTTCTTTTGTATTTACAATATATATTATTTTCCTTTTATCACTTATTTTTGTGTCTTTAGGAAGTCAGAGAGCTTGAATTTACTTGTGTCTCTCATCTGTGTGCTAGATAAAACTATGCCCCTATTATGTCATTAAAAAGACACCAACTCAAAAGGTCCATTATAAATTTGTATTCCCATAGCATTTTGTACAAAATTTCTGTAGGCTATTAACTCTGTTTGACTGCCCCATCTCTTGCATCCAGATTGTGAGCTCCTAGGAAGCAAACACCAACTTTATTAATCTTTTTATGTTTAACACCTAAACATAGTTTATGCTCAGGAATGTTAGCTGAAAGAATACAATTTTCACTTCAAGTATCTCTAACCGGAAAGTGAATTTCCAATGACCATTAAGAAAATACTGCCACCTCCTGGGTAATATAGGTCATGCATTCCTTAGCAAATACCAGGAAAACAGCACAGAATTTGTACACAGATAGATCAAAAGTTTGAAATTTAAACCTAGCTCTAGCACTTACTGTGTTAAACTGGAAAATCTCAATCTTTTAAAACATCAGTTTCCCTTTCTACAAAATGGGAATAGTACCTGTCCTGTCTCTCAGGCATTATCAGGTGTGGAGGAGAAAAAATTTTCCTACCGTCCTAGGTTTTTATCAGCTGGTCTAATAATTAAATTGACATGAGATAGACTAATAAGAGAAATTAACCAAATTGAATAGATGCATATACATGGGAATCCCACATACAAGAGGTTCAAAGACAGGGAAAATGAAGTATATTTGACATTCTGAGCTAAGGATCATCTTGGACCTTCAGAGGGGAGGAGGGTCATTGCAAGATGATAAGAGGAGCAGGTGTTCAGTAATTAGAAGTTCATCCTATAGATAGATCATAAAAAGTTATTTCTGGTGATAACTCTTACTATGAGCAAGGCCCCTAATTTAAGTTAAGAGAGAGGTAAAAGTTTCTTGTGAGCCTTCAGGGTCTTGATTGCCTTCAGCTGAAAATAATTTACATGCAGAAGTAGCACATTTTGAGGAGCCCTGTTCTGAACCTCTATACAGGACAGTCAAATCAGATAATGACTGTTAAAAAGTATTTTGTCTATTATAAAGCATTTTACAAGAATGAGATGTTATTCATCTTATTCTTTAGGACAAATAGCCTGCAGCTTGAGAGTCAGAGCAAATTCATCAAATTTTAGATGGCTAATG